AAAAGGCCAGATCTATTATGGGATCAAGTGCTGAGGATGTCACAATTTGCTCTGGGTTTAGTGTATTTTTTTTTAGTCCAGTAGATAGATTGAAGAGGTAAATGCAACAAAACATAATGGCCTTCTAGAGCAGTCCATTTAACATGACCCAGCAAACAGTATGTCACTAGAAAATTCCAGGGAAATTTTGAGTGCCACGGGGCTACTGCTGGGATGAGTACATGATTTATTTCCAGTGTTCAAAAGTCACCCTGATCATATTCTGGTTTTGAGAAATGTCTTGATATAAAAGACTCTGATATAAAACAATGTCACATCCCTCCATCATGTATTATGTGGGAAATATCTCATATTCTGTGTTGTTTTTTTTTAAATAAAACAAGAGGCAACATGTCTTCAAACTGGCATTTAAAGGGTTAAAATCCTGAAAACTAATAAACATTTGGTAGGTTTGAGTAAGAACTAAGTGGTTTAAGAGATGTATGCAAAAAAAAAGCAGAAAAAAATATTGATATATGAATGATTTTATAGCATTTTTCTTTGTGGTGTCCTTTTTTGGAACGCGAGGAACCCCAGAGGGTACAAAATGTGTTACCAGTGTATAATAGACCTGTAAACAGTAACTGACATTAGATTTTTAAAAATATGTCAAAAAGGACACTTTCTTGCAGGAATCCATACCTTCAACTGTAACACAGCCAAAATGATCAGCAAATCAAAAAAGAAAAGTGAAGAAAATGTCCAAAAAAGGACAGAGGGACCCCTGAGGTTTAATAAATTCATGAACCGCTATTTAAATTACCAACTATTATGTTTTTTTCGGTGCTAATTTAACATTACTGGGGAGGAGAGCAACGCGACTAGAAGTGACAGCAAGAGAGGGTTAGTAGCTTCTCCTCTCCTCTGTCTCAGCGGAGAACGTCACAACTTATTCATTCATTTAACAAAAACAAAAAGAAAGCAGCAAAGGAAGCAGTAAATGGACTTACATATTTAAGACTAACTAAATGTAATTTAAGACCTAACATGCGGCTAATGTAAAGCTAGCGGAGCTTGCAGAGTTGGTTATCTGGTTGCTAGGACGCACACACACACACACAGGTCAGGAGCTGCCGTTGCCATGGCAATGTGAAAATCTGCCCAGAATTTGGCTTCTACATGGCTTAAAAACAATTGCAAATTATGAGAAAAACCGTTACTCTTCTTTTCAAAACGAAAAACACGTGACAGACACTGAAGCCAGAAGTTTCTTACAGTTTTATTCAGATATTCCTTAAAATGAGTGAGTAAGCTCAGTCGAAGACAGGTGAGATTCTTTTGAAAAAAAAAAGACGATTACATTAGGTGTCAATGAGAGTGAGACAGGTATTGCGCCAGGACTCGGCACCGCCCGTTTAAATTTTGTGCAGACCGCCTGTCAAAGTTACATTTTATGAATCCCAACAACTATGTCTACATTTTGAGAAAAGAATTATTTGTCTCCTTTTTCGGTTTGGCCGTGAGCTCGAGTTAAAAATAAAAATAAAGGTTATTTTTTACTGCTTCACGCACTCTAGCCAACTGAACGCTGTCACTCTAACTTTGAAGAAAAAGTGATTTCACTCCTCCTTTGAGTGCTCATAGTTTGAAAAGTTTACATGTCATGTAAAATAGTTTCAAACTATGAGCACTCAAAGGAGGAGTGGAAATCACTTTTTCTTCAAAGTTAGAGTGACAGCGTCAGTTGGCTAGAGTGCGTGAAGCAGTAAAAAATAACCTTTATTTTTATTTTTAACTCGAGCTCACGGCCAAACCGCAAAAAGGAGACAAATAATTCTTTCTCAAAATGTAGACATAGTTGTTGGGATTCATAAAATGTAACTTTGCAGGCTCTGCACAAAATTTAAACGGGGGTGCCGAGTCCTTCAGCAATACCTGTCTCACTCTCATTGACACCTAATGTAATCGTCTTTTTTTTTCAAAAGAATCTCACCTGTCTTCGTCACTGAGCTTACTCACTCATTTTAAGAAATCTGAATAAAACTGTAAGAAACTTCTGGCTTCAGTGTTCTGTCACGGTGTTTTTCGGTTTTTGAAAAGATAAGAGTAACGCGTTCTTCTATAATTTGCAATTGTTTTAAGCCATGTAGAAGCCAATTCTGGGCAGATTTTCACTTGCCATGGCAACGGCAGCTCCTGACTGTGTGTGTGTGTGTGTGCGTGCCTAGCAACCAGATAACCAACTCTGCAAGCTCCGCTAGCTTTACATTAGCCGCATGTTAGGTCTTAAATTACATTTAGTTAGTCTTAAATATGTAAGTCCATTTACTGCTTCCTTTGCTGCTTTTCTTTTTGTTTTTGTTAAATGGAATGAATGAGTTGTGACGTCTCCGCTGAGACAGAGGAGAGGAGAAGCTACTAACCCTCTCTTGCTGTCACTTCTAGTCGCGTTGCTCTCCTCCCAGTAATGTTAAATTTAGCACCGAAAAAAAAACATAATAGTGGTAATTTAAATAGCGGTTCATGGAATTTATTAAACCTCAGGGTCCCTCTGTCCTTTTTTGGACATTTTCTTTCTTCACTTTTCTTTTTTGATTTGCTGATCATTTTGGCTGTGTTACAGTTGAAGGTATGGATTCCTGCAAGAAAGTGTCTTTTTTGACATATTTTTTTAAAATCTTAATGTCAGTTACTGTTTATACAGTCTTATTATACACTGGTAACACATTTTGTACCCTCTGGGGTTCCTCGCGTCCAAAAAAGGACACACAAAGAAAATGCTATAAAATCATCATATATCAATATTTTTTTCTGCTTTTTTTTGCATACATCTCTTAAACCACTTCAGTTCTGCTCAAACCTACCAAATGTTTATTAGTTTTCAGGATTTTAACCCTTTAAATGCCAGTTTGAAGACATGTTGCCTCTTGTTTTATTAAAAAAAAAACAACACAGAATATGAGATATTTCCCACATAATACATGATGGAGGGATGTGACATTGTTTTATATCAGAGTCTTTTATATCAAGACATTTCTCAAAACCAGAATATGATCAGGGTGACTTTTGAACACTGGAAATAAATCATGTACTCATCCCAGCAGTAGCCCCCGTGGCACTCAAAATTTCCCTGGAATTTTCTAGTGACATACTGTTTGCTGGGTCATGTTAAATGGACTGCTCTAGAAGGCCATTATGTTTTGTTGCATTTACCTCTTCAATCTATCTACTGGACTAAAAAAAAATACACTAAACCCAGAGCAAATTGTGACATCCTCAGCACTGATCCCATAATAGATCTGGCCTTTGTCATGGAAACACACAAGTGTTTCACAGATGAAAAGGTTGAGATGAGGACACAGACTTGAATACCTTGTGATACTTCTGTCTTCTGTCTGATGGTGTGGTCCTTGGTGAATTTGACCCTTTGATGCGCCTCCACACATGTGGCACAGAGGTACTCAACACAGTCCACACAAAACCCGGAAGCTTCGGTGTTGTCATCACAAGTCATGCAGAGCTACAGACAGAAGGGGCAAGCATCCGAAGCAGGTGACAGGAGATGAAACAATTTATACCTCTTGTTTGATCAAGCAAAAATAGATCTTATCTGCAAGAACGACAACTGTCTGTTTAGCATGAGCACCTCAAGCAAAGGGAGGGCAGATGTCTGCTGTAGAGATTCCCTCAGTGCACAAGCTGACATTGCTCATCTTACAAGAATATCATAGCTATTATCCTAAAAACTAGCAACAAGGCTGCCCCCATATGGTAATGCATTTTTTCACTAACCTGGACTGTCCTCTCCACTGTGCTGCTGGGAGCCTCTGCTGAGTCCTTCACAAACACGTTTTCCACCACATCTATCTCCATACACTCCTGCCTGCAGACTGGACAGCGGATCACATTCACTGGAATCAGACAGGAACACACATGTTGGTCTACATTTATGTGCCTTAAGGACAAATAACTGATACATGGCACCAGATATTTGTATCCATGAGTCCACACACACATGAGTAATCACGTGAGTAAAGCCTGTGGCCTTAAACACAGCAGAAATGTTACTTTCCTGCCTTGATTAACGGTGATGCTCCTTCATATGTTTGTAAACAAAGTGACTCACGTGGTTTGGTCGCGCTGTCAACCAGGGAGTTTGGCGCCTCCATCAAGGTCAGATTCCTGGAGGGTGAAGGCAAACATTTCTTGCAAAAAGAGTGCAGGCACGGCAGAAGTTTGGGCTCTCGACTGTGAAAGTTTAAATGGCAAAAGGGGCAAGTGTCCAGGTAATTCTGTCCGGTTGCACCTGACTTTTCCTCTTGTACTGGCATGCTCTCAGCTTCGTTCTCAACGATGATGACAGGAGCATCCCCTGACTCCTGTTTCTCTGTTCGTCCATCCATTTCCTCAAAGGCTAAATCTCAGTGTGTACACAAGATATACAGGCACAGGTGAGCAGAACGCGCGCGTTTTCCTCTATACCCTTGGCGAAGACGGCATCTCCTCACACCTGCTTCCCCCCTTCTCTCTCAGCCAGGTCAGCGCTGTGGATGTGTTAATATTCATGCTCACATGTAAATATATCGACTGTAGCGGCTAACCTGTAGCACAAAAGATGATACCTCCGCGCGAGGGTGTCGTACGTTCGCGTGCCGCAGATGTTGCTCAAATTGCACCGCACGCTCTCGTTGCGGCACGAGAGGGGTGGGGTCAAAACAGTGCGAGCTCTGATAGGAGAGGCACCAGCTGAGTGATAGAGGATAAACTCCACCGTCACAGTGTTCAACAGTCTTCATGTTTGTTTGTTACTCTGAAAGTTAGTGTGTTATTAACCAATTAAGGATTTTCTTATTATTGTAGCTAATTAGTCAGGCTGTACTGCGATACTCATCTAATAACGTTACTTTTCATGGCGTTACATTTCATCCGTCTGACTTAAACTGTGCTGGTGATAAAGGAGACCTACCCCACTACAATTACCAAATCCTTCATTGTATGTGCTCATACAATAGTTATTGATTTAATTTTGATTTTAATTTCTATCCTGTAAGCCATTGATTATTTTCTTGAAAATGTGTTATTGAACGATTAATACCAGCCCACATGGATGCACATATATGCTAAATCAACTTAAACTCCAGTTAATATGAATTTATTGGCATTGTAATGACATCATACAACACTATAACTGACTGAGTGCGATTTATCTTATGTAATAATACTACACTATCATTTACATTAAGTGTGACCATCATTCAGTTTGTTAAGCTTTGTTTATAAAAAATATGTATAACTTAAATGACTTTGGTAGTGCTTTCAATTATGTATATTTGAGCTGCTCTCATAACAAAAATAACAGCAACAACAATAAGTTAATATAATATCACTATCAATGACAGCCTGCCTATGTAATTGTTATTTAACACAGCATGCTGAAAAGCTGAATAATAAATATTTACACAAGACTGTGTAACAGGAAGGATAAAAATGTTATCTGCTAGTTAAATGAAGCTTTTGACTTTCCCTTCTCCTGAGAAAAACAAAGCAGTGTGCCACAACGTAAAATCCACATTTGTCAGGTCCAACTGTTTGGATTTGAGTCTGTCTGAGAATGCTCTCAGTGAGAAGCCATCAAGTGCATGTAAGTTAAAGCTTCAAGGTTCAAGGTTCATGGTCATGTGCTACATTATCTGTTAGTCAGGCTGGAGAGCAGTTCAGTTTGTTCACTTTAGCTCAAAAATGAATCTGACTGCACAGAGACACAGTATCGCTCTCAGTGATGGGAACCGTATTCCACTGCTGGGACTGGGCACCTATGGGAACCCTCAAACGGTAAGAGGGAGACAGTATTGTGTCTGTGTTTCTAGATTTAGACATGAACTATTAATGGTTATTAATGACTGCTATACCAGGTGGACTCGTCATAGCGTAGGAGTGTCTGTGTTTACTGCTTGCTGTGATAACTGCTGTGGATAAACATTAACCGGAATTTAAAATGTTGCTGTAAAATCTGAAGATATACAGCATGACTCAATCCAAAACAAGTCAGATAATGTTTACATTTTCTGTGGGTTTCCTATAGACACCCAAAGGAACAGCATTTGAGTGTGTAAAGCTGGCCATAGATGTGGGTTACAGGCACTTCGATGGGGCACTGGTGTATTTCAATGAGCACGAAGTAGGTCAAGCCATTAGAGAGAAGATTGCTGATGGAACTGTTAAAAGAGAAGACATCTTTTACTGCGGAAAGGTAAAATGTTCTGACATCTCATGCGTCTCATTTGTCTCAATTTAATTTGAATACTATTTATTTAGTTTAAGAGTGTATGATGTTGTTTTTAAGGCCTTTGGACTGAATATTTGAACTCTCACATGTGAGCACTTTCCCAAAAGCAGAGTTGTGTACTGTGCTTCACTTCAATCTCTGTATTTTCAGCTCTGGAATACCTTCCACCCACCAGAGTTGGTGAGACCGACTTTGGAGAAGACTCTGAAAGCCTTAAAACTGGACTATGTGGACCTCTACATCATTGAGCTTCCTATGGCCTTCAAGGTTTCCATACACTGCACATATAAATGGCAGTTAACTTATCAGCCAGTCATTTAGAGTCTGAACATTGCCCTTGCACACGCACACAGTGGTAGTGTTTCGTTTAGATAATGCTGTTACAAATTTACCTTGTCAGACAGAAGGATTTGATATAAGAAGATATTTCACTTTCATAGAAAAATATGTGAAATAAAAGAATGAATAGAGTTAGAAAGGATGTCAACACGAGGCACCTCGGTGGCTCCCCTGGCGTAGCGCTTGCTGCATGGGCTTTGTCCTGGCCGCAGCGGCCATGGGTTCGGGTCCGACCCGCGGCCCTTTGCTGTGTGTCATCCCCTCTCTCTCTTCCTGAGTTTCCTGTCTATCTCTCACTGTACTGTCCGAGTGAAGGCAAAAATGCCCACATTAGAATGTTTATAAATTATTTAACATATAGTTAAGTGTTTTTAGTTACAGTTTTACAGTTATATTTATACATGGTAGCTGTATAACAATTGTGTGTAATGGGGCTCATGGTTAGCTTTAGGTTTGGAAAAAAGATTAGACAGCCAGGAGTGTGTTTGGTGAAGACTTTGCAACTGGAACCATTTGGCTGATATTTGAATGAGTTGTAGAAATTCACTAAAATAATCAAGTTGAAGCCAACTGCAATGCCACACCGTCACTTTGCACAGTATTTCAGCATCACTATGACCACATCATGTCACCACAGTCTCTTAGGAAGTGTGTATTTAAATAAGTTTAATTAATACAAGTTATTTAATTGTGCTTAAAATTTTAGCCTGGAAATGAGTTCTATCCAAAAGACCGGGATGGAAAATACATCTACCACCACACAGACCTCTGTGCAACATGGGAGGTGAGTTCTATTGAGTTCACAACGGATAGTCCTGCTATTTGATGGCTTTGCTCATCTCCCCCTCGTTGTCTGTGATATCTCGATTTGATATTTTCATGACATATTGGCATATTTCATGATATAATGGTAAGACTGATTGCATGGATCTTGTATCGGATTGCATTAGATTTAACTAGAAGTATGTAATGAAATGTCAAGTCAGTGCAATTAAATTTTTCAGATGTACTATCTATGAGTGCGTTTACATGTGCATTAGGATCCTGATTATGAGCCTTATCTTGTTTTTGATTACATTTGTGATGTATCATTGACATGGAACATGAAAAACCTGGTCATTCATTTCCCTATATACATGATCATAACAGCATCCAGTTTACTGATCCGGTGTCTTGATTTCTCACCATCTCAGAGAAACCTGGATAAGGTGTTTACATGCCACAGTTATCTGGTTTTCTCCAGGTAGTGCATCCAGGTTTCTGAAATCAGGATAAGCTGTTTACATGCACAAAACATAACCAGCATTAATTTGTCAGCCCTTCTTCAATTTGAAGGACCTGCTGTTTTGTCAGTGCATTTTAATGGTGCCTATGATGTCCTGTATGTCATAGATTTCTTCCGAGAAAATACAAAAATAATAACAACACAACAATGAATAATGTGAAACCAGCAAATTGGCATGTGATATTCCCTCATACTTGGATGTCCATGCCAGAACATTCTGTGCTGCAGCATTAGAAACTGTCAAGAAGAGTGCCGTAAACAGCCAAGCTGTGTTCTGTTTTTTCCTCTTCCCTGTTTTATGTTTTGTTTTGTTTTTCTCCACTGTCTCAGTAAGTCTGTAAAGATAATCACTATCAGTCTTTGAGGGGATATAAATCTTTTATTCTCCACAGGCTTTAGAGGCTTGCAAAGACGCAGGACTTGTTAAGTCTCTGGGAGTCTCCAACTTCAACTGCAGACAGCTGGAGCTGCTGCTGAATAAACCTGGCCTCAAACACAAGCCTGTGTCCAACCAGGTGACCCCCGACCTGTCTCTTTAGCCCCCATGTTGACATCAGACATAGCATAGTGTATGTCGTACGGTAGTATATAACAGCATACAGTAGTTTTATAGGTTGTTAAATGGAAGGCAATGCTTAGCTTTTCATACTTCAGGGCCACTGAGAATTCTCTGTTTTCCATTCAGCAAATGTTAAAAGAAATCAAGTGACAGCTCGCCAATAAATCTGAGAGCAAATTCTAGTTTTTTGATGAAAGGATTTATCATTACTTGGGTGAAATGATGCGAAATGATTTCGGCTTTTTCTGTCCTCACTTGGTCCATTTATATATTATTCGATTAGTTTTCTTGCATAATTCTAACATTGCAACTAGATTCAGTAGTTGGCATAGTGTTGCTGTGTATCCTTTGCTTTCCTTGCATCAAATGTTTATTTGATAATACTCCCCTGTCACAAAACAGCCAGACTATCTCAAAAGAAATCTTTCTTTTGCTTTAATTGTTTAATAAGTTGTCAATTTTTCCATTTCCATTCAATTTTATTTTGGCTAGTCAGAGCGCAATGTGCTAATGTAAAGTCAACACTTTTCTTCTCACTCACCTGTAGGTTGAGTGCCATCCATACTTCACACAACCTAAGCTTCTGGACTACTGTCGTCAGAATGACATTGTGATTGTTGGCTACTGCCCAATTGGCTCCTCCAGAGACGCATCCTGGTACGTAGGTTTTAGGAGGATGATATTTTTAAAAATGAGTTGCTGGCAGTTGATATTTTTGCAATGTTTTGATTCCCCCAGCATTGTATTCATGGGAGGGTGAAAAAACTCTGAGCTGCATTTTTAGACAATCATATGGCACGTGATCACATGTCATGTCTCTGTGAAAACTTGTACGAAGGGAGGGGAAGGATGCAGAATTAAAGTTCACGAACAAAACTGAACAGCTAAGTGAAAATCCTGACATGACAGATAACTTTTGTCATTGCAAGAAGCTACATTATATGTGAAATGGAGATCAGTATTTGGCAACGTTAAAAAAAAAAAAAAAAAATCATATGTGCAACATATTGGTCTAATATGTGACTGTGCAGCATTATTATTGTTACAAACCCTCATACTAAACATAAAAACTCTGATAAAAGTCTCTGTCCCGGCATCATTGGTATTCTCTTCTGTCTCTGGTTCAGGGTGAATGTGAAATGTCCTCCCCTGCTGGAGGATGAGCTGCTTGTGTCCATTGGGAAAAAGTACAACAAGAGTAGTGCCCAGGTGGCTTTGCGCTTCAATGTCCAGAGAGGAGTTGTGGTGATTCCCAAGAGCTTCAGTCCTGAGAGGATCAAACACAACTTCCAGGTGGGTTAAATATATATAGCATATATATTTTTTGATACCAGGGTGTGTAGTGTTCATTACAGACACTTAAACTGTATGTTACAAGGATGCTTTCAAATCCACTACAGTATTCATAAATATGTAATTTTAATAAAACCATATTATACTTTGATACAGATATTTGACTTTTCACTCACTGAGGAAGAAATGAAAGCCATTGAAGCACTGAACAAAAATATTCGTTTTGTGGAGCTGCTGATGTAAGTATAAGTTGAACTGAACCTGATCTTAATGTAAACTCATAAGCTATAGTTTTACTGTGTTGCATTGTTCTTTAACTTCATTATCGGCTATGCAGTAAAAGAAAAGGACGTTCTCACATTACGCTGAGGAATAACAACACCTTTTGTTTTGACACAGGTGGAGTGACCATCCAGAGTACCCATTTCATGATGATTATTAAACTTTACAGATATATAATAAGAACAGAAGATAGGCTTATACTCTGCATATTCTTCCCTCTTGAAGGTTTGAACTGGTATTTTTTCACACTAAACACTAGAGGGCTCTAGCTCACAGAGAATGAAAAAGACAAAAGCAAAAATAAATAAATAAAAAGGTTTTCAAGGATAACACACAGCTCTGATGTGAAATGGCAAACTATATTTCATATGTGTAATATTGAAAGGGAGTTGTTTAAAATGATGCAATTACGTAACTGCTGCTATGCACAAGTTTCATTTGAAAATAAGACCATTTGAATTGAATGTGGCAAAATAAATCATATCTAGAAGAATACATTTTGATTATTACTTCTCTGGTTTTCTGAAATAGACACATTATATACACATTTCTACACATTCAAATTTTCAGATATATCAGCTACTAATGACCTCTATACTGTATTTCAGCCAAGAAGTGTCTGATCCCCTAATGTATAAATACATCATATACGCACACACACACACATATATGTGTGTGTATATATATATATATGATATTAAAATGGAAAAAAAATGATTTCGTGTGTCTGTTCTTCTGGTCTTCAAATAAGTTAAGTCACTTTATGTATGAAGTGCATTTAAAACTTGTTCAAAGTCCTTACATGTCAATGTTCAAGGCGAATCAGCCTCGTTAGAGCAAACAACACAGAACAACCTGAGACATAACAGGTAGCTATGCAAGTCCAAATGCCAAAAAGATTCAATTTTGCAGGGACATAAAGGTTTCAGTGGTGGGGGATAGAGAATAGCTCTAGCTGTAACTAATCCAAATGAATGTAATGTACATATGTGGTGAGGTGAGGTTAAGTATCCAGCTGTAGCTGGAAAGGAGTATATGAGAAAAGCTAGCAATTATGCTGAATGACAATTTTATGTTGTCAAAGTTAAATAAAAAAATAAAAAACACAAGGAGCAAGACATGGATGCATGGGAAATATACTGTCCCTGTGGGAAGAAATGTACTGAGAAGACCAGATCATCTTGGTGTAATATTATAATTTTCCTGGTACCATATCTTTACAATTCCTAGAAATGCAATGAGCAAATATATGCAACACAGATACTGTTGTGGCACTATTTCTTGCATGAATTAGTCAAATTCAACCATAACACCCTGTCACATGTATTGAAGTGGTCTGTTTTTAAAACCTCTATTGTCCTGCTGTCCAAATATTTCAGCTCCTGAGGAATTATGGGCTGCGTATTGTGTTGAAAGACATCTTCGTGGTAACATATATATACATATATATATATATATATATGTAATCTCATAAACGCATATGAGGCTCATATAGGATTATAAATGAGGATAACTAACTGACAAACAGAAATCCCCTCACTCATCTGTTTTCTTTTTTTGACAAACTGTAAGACTAACTGTAAAACATTGCACATATGAGAAGTCTGAGGAAAAAATGTGCAACAATCACAACGAAATAAATCAATTTGGTCATTTAAAGGCTTCATTACAGGTGACAATTTGTTCATTAGCATCACCTCGACTCCTGCAGTAACATTTATGTGGAAAAATGTTTCTGCAGTACACTCTTAACCTTCACGAGAAGAAGATGTTTGAATATCAAACTGTTATAAGAGTTACATGATACATGACAACAGCAGTGGATATTGATTTTAAGTGTTTGATGTTTTTTTTGAACGGTGATGCCATGGATGGTGACGTGGAAGAAAAAACTTTTAAATAATTTTTAAATTTCAATTAATAAAGCAAAATACAATTTTAGCTTCACATTCGTGTGCATAACTGGTTACATTATGTTTATTCTTCTTGTGTAACATGACTGCCAAATCTCTGTTGGCGTTCATCTTTAAGAGCACGAATGAGAGAAAAGCTGAGAGCGGTCTGTGACTCTTTGATGTGAATTACATGGTTAACCCTGAGCTCTCTATGTCTTGTTTGGTCAGAGAGGGTATATGAGTTTGGTAAGATCAAATCCATCATCACAGTGTTGACACTGTGTACTCTCTGTGTACACACCTATTACCTAATTTGACCATCATGGACAGTTTTCTCCTTGGCTGTCTGTCAAAGGCACAAGTTTTCCACCACAAAATGAAAGCATGGAGCTGTCAGCAGCACTTTACTAATGTGGGTCTTTTGTTATTAGCAACTTAATGTCTGTTAAGGTCTGTTTAAAGTGGACTTTTTTTTTTAATCTGCTGTAAGAAACCTCTACTTTTGTTAGGATACACCTCACTTGAAGAGGCCCCCTTGAAAAGGGTTTGTGTAAATATTTGTATATGCCACAGTTGATCAATTGATTTCGCAGAAACCTAAAAATGGGGTAAAGAGTGAAGATACATTAATCTGGTTCCTTGCAGTGCACTCAAAAACTTGATTTTCCAAGCTTGTCAACCAGTTAAAACATCTGATGTTCTGTCCTTCCACTGACCTCAAGTTAGCCAGTGTAGTTTAATATATGGTATTTCTTGGATCAAACTGACCTAATATTAATCATTAACAAGCTCTGTGAGTAAGTGATCCTCTGCAATGTCTGAATTGCTGTGGACTAAATTCCAACTTCCCGTGTCAGAAGAACCTTAAACCATTTGCTTTCACTCATCTAACTGAACCAGCACGTTTGAGTTTGATCTGAAGAGACAGGACAGGCATTTTGGAGTAAACAGAGTACAATCTGAGCGGTGACCTGTGGCTGTACAGTTAGAGAGCAGCAGGAGGCTGCAGAGAGAATGAAAAAATACAGTTCATTAATGAGCTCCCCTCTGTTGAGTTGTCCTCTTTTGTCCCATGGATGTTTGCAAGCATGACCACGACTCTGGATGAAATAGTGACAAACGATTTGGAAGTAAGAAATAGATGCACAATTAGACTTTTACCACAAATAACCACTGAAAGTTTTTTTTTTTGTTTTTTTTTTCACAAGTTTTGAACTTTTTATCTTAGGGCACATGCAATGTCCCATATTTATCTTAAAGGAATCATCAATTGACAATTTGGCGAAAGGGAGGTGTTCACCTTCTTGCAGAGAATTAGATGAAAAGATTGATATCTCTCACTATACAATTCGAATCTACAGTCAGCAGGCAGTTAGCCTAGCTTAGCATAGCACAAAGACTGGAAAAGGGGAAAACAGCTATAACAGCTAGTCTGGCCTGGCTCTGTCCAAATATAACAAAATACACCACCTCTAACGCTCAATAACATGTTATATTTAATTTGTTTAATCCCTACAAATACTGCAGTGTGACAACAACATGTTATGATTTTATGGTTAAGGTTTACGGTTTTATATGTTATGGAAATTTGGCTATTGGGGATTAGGATGCTGCTGTATCTTTGCTATGATATCATACTGTAGGATTCTCTTTGATGAGCTACTATGAGGTCATGCCATCAAATGGAATTAGAGCTGTTGGTAATGGGATGCACTGTCATGTTTGTGGCCAGAAGCTATACTAATGCTGAAAATTGCAGAGAGACTTAGAGAGAGATCTGGACTCATTCAGGAAATAAACAGGTTGGTTGTTGTCAAAACTGCCACAAAACTGAAGTCAACTGCAGATGCCTTAATTTTTACAGAAAACTAATGTGTTTGTGTCTTGAATTGTAATTTGATTTGGTGGTGGTGGGGGATGGTGGGGAGTTTACAAAAAAAGACCTCACCCTGTAAGGTTTCAGACAGGAAAAGCAGAAACACATCACTCCCCCCATCCCCACCTCCAAAAAGACCCTCTGGATTGTGACCTTGTAACAAATGCCTTGAACCGGGCCGCTCTAGACCCCTGTGGTGGGAAAATGTTCTGAATGGGCTACTGGGTCTGTGAGGAAGGAATCTGGTTGAGGGAATAAAAGCTCTTTTCCGGGGGCTGAATTAAAGATGTGTGTTGGAGCAAGGAGTGATGTTTTAATTACAATCAGTCAGAAGGAAACATATCAGAGGCTCTTATTTTGAACGTCATGCAGAAATTATTTTAAGTGTACAAGGTTTGTGGATGATGCATTTTTGTATCTATGTTTTTCAAGCAAACTCAGTCATATTTGAGATCATTGCACACATGCATGCGATACACAATTTCCACCTAAAATACAAATCTGACCAGCCTCTCCCCCCATACTTTCTGCTTGTTCTCTGGACAGAAAGGCCCTGGGAGAATGTGTGTGTCAAAAGGTTACGCAATCAGCCCACCACGCTGAGACAGCACAGACCTCTAGTGTGCTGTGGTGAGTGAGTGTGTGTGTGTTTGTGTGTGGGGGTGTCTGAATGGAATTGGATGAAGGGGAAGGGGGGTCTTCAGAGAGGGGCAAAGCAGAGGGAAAATCTCACTGCGGGCTGCACCAAAGTTTTCAGTTTCTCAGATCTCCGCCCCTCCATGTATGTTATATAGTGAAACCTGAAACGGCAGCAGGCCTGTATTTGGTGCCCCTCTCTCTTCTGGAAACTGTCATTGTACAACATTATGAAAGGTGAGTGCCTTTGATCATGTGGTTTCATTTTTTTTCTGTCACAGATGGATAATGACTTAAATTACTGCTGAATATAAACATATTCGTGGCCATCGTGGAATTCTATTTGATTGTTTATTTATTGGCAGCGGAGCTCAGTGGAAGCTGTTGTTTAACAGTTCGTTTCTGAGAGCCATGAATGGTTCTTCATTTTGCCCAGCTAATGAAAGGCCTGCATTATTAAAACATAACTAACACGCTCACGTACAAAGACTTTGCATGTGGGAATCGAAACTTGGCTTTTATAACTTACTTGTTGTATTCAGTGCATTTCTATGCAGCACAGTGCATCCAATGCTGATATTCATGCTGTTCCATGCTGTAATCAGGACTATGTGACACTTATCAGTCTTACCAAAGTATTGATCGGAAATCACACCAGATTATTCAACTTCATCAAATATTTAAAACTCAAAAAACAAACAAAAAAAAAAACAGGTTGATGTCATTTTTGTTGACAGGTTATGCTATTTCTTTTTACTTTTTTTTTTTACTTCCCTTTATTTATTCATTTATTTATTTGTACCTACCAAAATTGAGCATTTTTAACTTCCATCTAGATGTTCAACATCACATGCTGCAATTGTAAATCTTTGCTGTGTACAGGTAGACGTGTAACATGGTTTGTCTTTGCCTTATGTAACTGATCTGGTTATGTATTAGCCTGCAATTATCCAACTGTGGGAGCGTCGGGGCACAGGACATGATGAGGATGTAACTCTGAGCTGCACGTGTTTAGGAGAAGCGCCAAGATGACTGCCTTTGTCCATGAGATTCCATGAGGTCCCACAGGAATAGGAGACCATTATTCCCCATCCTCAGGCTTTTGCTCTTAAATTGATATTATGATATTATGACATTAGCATGGTTCTTATTCTTATGACCAATACCGATGCTAATTCCTAGTAGTCTGGTTTAACTGTCCATAACTTACCTGTTTTGGATCACGCTTGCTGCTTTCATGAACCTTGTTTCTAGCCACACCAGGAAACTGTTTTCAGCTAAAAAAAAAAAAAAAAAGCTCTGATAAACTCACAGCACTTTTACAGTTAGCCAACATTAGGGAAAGGGTCTTTAAGGAAAGGGTTAAGACCAAAACAGAGCTAAAGGGTATACTGGACTCATGGTCATCAGGGTGACACAAATTCCAACTGAATGCTAAAGTTGCTCTGTGTATGCTGGATGTGTAATCAAGCAAGTGCTTGCTAACAAGGTCATAATATGTCAATGTGCCATCACGTTTGATTTGACTATAGGACTGGCTCAGGTTTCATTGTATGAGCCAATTGTGGAACATCGTTTATGTGGTAAGAACCAGTTACATATGGTCTAGGCTAGTAAACACTTATCTTAATTGAGCACGTAGGCTAGGAAATGTGTAATTTAAAGATCTGATATCCAGCGGTTTAATTTCTCACCTTGCTGAAGTTATGTAAAAATATAGGCTACCTAGGGTGTGTCAGTACACTGTGACATCACTGCTGGGTGTGGTTACAGAAGCAGCAGAGCACAGTTCTGATGACACCCACCAGTGACATTGGGTGAATCCTTAAACTTTCAACCACAGTGGGAAAGTGAATAGCTTTCTTGCTGAGAGTTAGGTGAGAAGATTGACAGTACTCTCATGTGTGTACTTAAGCTAAACAGAGGACATCTTAGCCCAGCTTTGCATTGGACTGGAAACAGCTAGTCTGGCTCTGTCCAAAAGTTAAAAAAAAACAGCCTACTAGCACCTTTAAAGATTACGAATTCATATGTCATATCTTAGTTGTTTCATCCATTCAAAAACTTAGCAGTAAAAACTACAGTTCATAGTTTTTACGGGTTGGGCAGTCTGCTCGGTCAGGACCCCACAGGGTCCCTTTTTAACGCACCTGTAACCCCTCATCATTTTTCAACATCAATCAGACTTCCAATTTTGTCTGCTGTGTTGAAAGTTGACATGAGTCGAGCGAACTGCAGCCATTGTCTACTGACGTATATGGAGTGAGACTACATCATGATTTTAAAGTCACAGTGAACTTTTACTGTATTAAACCACATAACAATCTTTCCCAAACCATAACCAAAGTGCTTTTGTTGCCTAAACCTAACCACAGACAGGAATCTAGATGTGAACCCTAGTCTCTGGCGTGACAGTCATGCAATTTGTACTGCTGCCATCCACCTCAACCACCTCCTGGTGATTCTGCCACTTTTAATAAATGTAGCGCCTTATTCAATCAAAATATATGTTGCCTCTGAACTTTGAAGATTATTCTAAAGGGTACACAGAATGTTAAAAAGTGACGCCCAGGGGTCCTGACCAAGCGTCCATATGCGCAACTACGGAGTGACTCTTGTCACCGTGAGGTTGCCAGACAGCAGGAGAGACTCCAGATTTAGTTACTTTTGCTATTTCAAGTCTTCATCCTAAGCTAAGCTATCAAAGGTGCTCTATGCAGACAGGAGAGTGGAACTGATCGTAACATTGAACTCTCTCAAGTTAATATGATTATTTCCTAAAATGTCGAACTACTCCTTTAAGGACCATGCATATATTAAGATCAGCAAACAGCAGCACAACATGTCCAGTAAGTCAGCCAGTCCTTCATTCAGTCAGTCACTCATTCAATAGGTCAGCCTGTCAGTCACTCAGTCAGTCACTTGCATAGGCAGTTCACAGCTTTTCAGAGAGAGGTGAAGTTGGCGCTTTTTCATGGGATAATGCTCCACTGTGCCTCAATGAGGTCATTCTCAGTCTTGGCATATTTTCTCACAGTGTGCCTCTCTTTTGATGCTCTATAAGTACATACGTGTGAAAACTATTTCAGCCTGACTTTGCTACTATAAATATTCACCTATTAAAAGGATGTGTTTGAAGTGAGGTATTTGGCTGGTGTGATGAGCTCCCCCAGTGTCCGCTGAGAAAACATGAAAAAATGAGGTAAACTGTGATCTGGCTGCAAGGCCAGTGAGGATTCTCTTCTGCCAGCACAGAGGAGAGGAGCTCCTCTGCTTTTGTTGCACTAAGCCTTCATTCCCACCAAGTTCCTTTTAGAAAACAAGGGGCTCTATTTTTACCTCAGGCTGCAATTTGGCACCAGCGCTGGAGATTTTGGCTCCTAAAACGGATCCAACCTCCAACCCCATGCACACAGCACATACAGAGTCACACTTGTGCTCGACCTCTGCCCTATGCCAGTAGGAGCACATTCCTAAAGGTGGCTTCACACAGGGCTGTTGGCTAAATGGGATTTCCACCGCCTGTGTTGTTTTCAGAACATGTAACAGAAGTCAAATACAGGCAACTTCATTGGTCCAGGTCACACAACACGTAATTTGTGTTTGTTTGTGTGGATGCATGAAAGACAGAAGAAGGGAAGGAGGTTCAGTGCAAAACATGTGTTCCACTGTCTCCTCCTGCAGACTGATGACGAACTTGTTTGAATGTGGACAGTTTCAGAGGGAGATAAAAGGGTAACAGAGGAGCTGGTGAGAGGCCTGTTAATGCAACCTGACAGGAGTGAGCACAGTCAGTGAGCTGTCTGTTTCATCCACAGAGAGAAATTCTTTCAGCAGCACTGGTCCCCCGAACAGGGTCTGGCTGAGGGCTTGACTAACGTCTAACATGGTCACGTAATATCATGCCATTACTGACCTCACCCAGCACAGCAGATGTAGTGATATAATGTATTATAGCTCATGTAAACATAAAAAAATATATTTGGCACATCACATGCACAGTGGAAATCTCCTTGAGAACTAGCCAAGGTCCTGAAATCCTTTATTCTCTCTCCTGGTCTTAAATCCATTTAAGCCCCAAACAGACCCCCTTTACTAAGCAGGGCAATATTCTTATATATCACATTTAATGACAAATAAAATGAATGTGCTTTGCATTAAAAATGCGTGCGTGCGCGCACACATGCACACACACATTATAACTTATCATAATCTTAGGAAAATGTAGTTTGCTTTTGAATGTTGACACAGACACAGATTTCAGGACCTCAGGCACCTGAAACTGATTAGATTAGAAAACTGACACTTACAGACCTGATAGGTGCAACTGGATTATACTCAGTGAGCAGGTCAGGAGGAGTTAAACCATTAAGTGCTTTAAAGAGTGTCGGGTGAACTTTAAGCTGGGTCTGATTTCTCAATGGGTGCCACTTAAGTGATTTAAATACTACAGTAATATGTTTAGCTATGACTGTGTGCATATAGACTCTGGCTGCTGCATTTTGAATTAGCTGGAGCTGAATTATTGGATGCAATTTCAGAATGACTGCTGTGTCAATTCCAAAAAGAGTCTCTACAAGACAACTGTCAAATTTGTGTTCATAACCCATTTCTTAATTTTTTCCAGATTTGTTTGACTTTGCTTGACTGAAAAGTGCAGGACAATAATTCATTATTATCATGTATTGACTGTTTGTTGAAGCATAGTGTGATGAGATGGTCATGTTATTTTTGTCAAAATGTTTGATTTAGTGCAATTTTTATTACTTACACCAAAGGTTCTTTTGTCTGATGTAACTGCATAACTGTCAACAATTTTATTATTTTTCACCACATCATGATATATAACGATTTAGAAAAAATATCAATCTGGTGATATAAATTTTAGACAGACTCAGCCATTGTGGTGAATCAGTAAAACTGTCACTGTTTGTGGAGTAGGATTTGCCTCTAAGGGACATCATCTCTCTCTTTACTATTCAGAGAGACTTGTTGATCCTACAAATTAAAACTAAGCTGTAGAACATGTGCTATGGGATTGTTGGAATTGCCTCTTTAACTCCTTGTCAAAGGAACTGCCATTGAAAAACAAACCAATTAGATGAGATGATTGCCATTACCATCCGACAGGCTATAGCTATATCTTTTGCTCTATTTCTCATTTGTAATATTTATTTTTACTCTTCTACTCTTTTCAATTTAACCCTTAGGGCGCACAGGTGAGATGGAGAACACATCCAAGGTAGAACCCTCCAATGGGCACAGCAGACCCCTGGACATTGTGCCCAGTACAGAGGAGAAGATGACAGACAGGGGTCAGTGGGGCAACAAACTTGAGTTTGTTCTGTCAGTGGCTGGAGAGATTATAGGCCTGGGGAATGTCTGGCGTTTTCCCTACCTTTGTTATAAGAACGGAGGAGGTAAGTGCTGGAATTACTTAAATCTGGTTTGTTATTGTTTGTTGTTTCCTGTTTGACACAAAATGTTGCATTTCAGAGTGCAGTCTTGCCTGCATGTACAGCATCTAGTTGTTGAGGCAGGATTGCACTTGGTTTAAACACAACATAAAGAGAACATAAAGAGACATTAAGTGGGTTAATGTGTGATCTATTCTGTGGATCAGTTGCTCAATGGAGGTCATGGTTCACCAAAATTAGGAAAAGAGCCAGAAAGTTTTTTTTCATGCAGCCAGTTAGTTACTGTCTGACACAGGAGACCTCACTTAATACAGAATAAAACTGGCAAACTATAAAATCTTTAAATTTCCATAGGAAGTGAACTTTGATTCCCGTAGATAGACGATTTCAGATTTCTTTTACTTTGGATATTATTTATTTATGAAAGAAGGAAGAAATTTTGCATCAACATTGTTTTTTTATTTACAAACCGTGCCTTACAGTGTAAACGTGTTAATGAATTTGAAGGTTCTGTAAATAATTGTCACTGCCACTAGATGTTGCACTTGACCACCAGCATCTCAGACCAAAACAAATATTTCGTCGGCCACACCTCCGTCATCCCCTCCCTGCGCGTCCTCAGACTGCAAGGTGTTGCGAAGTCTTGTTGCGAAGTCAACAAAACACACAAGAGGTACAACCGAATAAAGTTAGACTGCGTATACGAGAGCCAACAAAATACAATCCAGCCACAACCATTAGCATTGCCGTGACATGCTACTGCAATGCTGACAGTTAGCTAGCTAGCAATAGCAACATTTGCCGAGCACATTCTGGATAATGGTAACAGCAAGTTAGCTAACTGTTATCATGCCTACTGCAGCCAGTCACTCATGAAAACAGACATGTCACATTATTTAGCCATCGAGTTACTTACACATGGAGGAGAAGAAGCCAGTTCCGAGTCCAGCTGAAGCCCTTTAGCAGCTCCTAGGGTTCTCCATCTTGTAAAAGCCAGACCAGTACTGACTTCATGGTCTGACTGGAATAGAAGTTCAGCTTTGGAGTAAGCCACCGGGACCGAGCCGCACAAATTACACTGGGAAGCCGGTAAAAAACTTTATGGATGTTTTGAAGGTCCACCAGCCGACAGGGATTTGAGCTGGTAGTGCCATGGCCAGCCCACATGTGCTCTGATCTCATCCCTGTCTTTGTTAGAGGCCTGTTAGAGGCCTGCCTAGAAAAAAGTCTTTGGTTGAGGGAATTTGGCGAGGTGGTTATCACCTGGACCCTGTGTACTGCACTGCGCCATGTTTGCTGTGAATGTGGGGAGAGCCAACTGTTTAGCAGGAGGCACTCACAAGCACTAACACACATGCACTCATGCATGTGCTGCCAGTCCCAAGACCAAAAAAAAAAGAACATAGAAACCCAGATTACAACACATACAGAGGGGATGTGGCATCCATTACATTCTCTGCTCAGGACGCCATTACTCCACATATCTTTACATAGAAAATAGTTGTTTGCTTCTATATTATTGTTTAAAATCTCATTTACAGAACCTATAAACAATTAGCATGTGTCTCTACTATTCTACATTGCTTGAGAGCATACTGAAGGCATCTGAATGAAGTGTTCCTTGAATCTGTGTGCTTATGTCAGGTGCCTTCTTTATCCCATACCTCATCTTCCTGTTTGCTTGTGGGATCCCGGTCTTCTTCCTGGAGACGGCTCTGGGTCAGTATACCAGCGAGGGAGGTATCACCTGCTGGAGGAAGATCTGCCCTTTGTTTGAAGGTACTTTTCTTTTTCTTTTTTTTTTCTTTTACATAAATGTGATTTACTTTATATTTAACATGTAAAAATGCTGTACAGCACCATGAGTGGCTCAATCTCCTCAGCATAGCAGTTTTAGTGCCATGCACTCCCAAGATCTGCTGATCTGTTTTTCACTTTCATGATATCACTAAGCTGTATCTTATGCTTTGTAAAAGTGTATGTGCAGGGGTGCACCCATCTTCATGATGTTTTGAATGTAAATATGTCATGATCTAATGACCACAGTATGTGTGTTATTCTGTAACAATGAGTTGCTTGTGCACCACACAGGATACATTCAAAAATTTATGAGGGCAAAGCCCTGGCAACATATATCTGTACAACAATGTGGGATGAAAGGAATTTCAGTCTGTTTATGTCCATGTATCATTTTCATTTATCATTAGCCTTTGTGTATATACAGTATGTGTATAACTGTTTGTGTGCATGTGTTATGTGCATGCCATACAGATGTGGGAGGGTGATACATGTCATACAAATGGCTGGAAAGCAACCAACACTGGCTAACAACACATTTCTCCAATGCTTGTAGCATTCAGCTGCCCTCCAATAAGCCTGTAATCAGCCTGTACTCATAACAGCTAGGGGAGAGTCGAGTCAGGCGTGCAATCATGTGTTGGAGGAAGAGTTTAACCAAAAAATTGAGCATATTATAATTTGGCCTGCATGTAATTTAGTCTGATGCAGTCATTTGAAAGGGCAGAAGCGGTGAGCTGAGGATGGGTTTAATCAAACACTGGAAAGATATGCTTCTTCCAAGGTTAAATTATGCCTCTTTGACTATAGAGAATGGAACTGTCAGGGAGCTCTTGTCACTGATTCAGAATAATTTCTGTGAGCCACTTGAGAAAAACTAAATCGAATTTGAAATGTCCTCAGACTGCTGTCGAATACACTGCTGCAACCAAACTACACACTCAGTGCAACTCCAGGTGTGCTTGTTTAATGGCATACACGTTGCTCTTGACTGACAGTGTGAGCAGAAAATATCTGCAGGACAATGCCTCATCACAACACTATATTAAAAACACATACCTCTATGGAGGTAAATTAAAAGATATAGTAATGAGTTCCAGGTGACTGTAAGGAGTAGAGAGAGAAAGACTGTGTGAAAAATGCAGAGTTCCTCAAAGGCCCATTTGTTAAAACAAGCTGCATGGTTGCAGCTTTTCTGCAATTGATTTTCATTTTTTTTTTGCCAAAAAGTAATAATAATGGCTGTTTGTTTCGTACTGCTCAGTAAATGCCATAAACCTGATGTTTTCTTTTCCAGGAGTGGGTTATGCTACCCAGGTGATTGTTGCTTTGCTCAACATCTACTACATCGTTGTGTTAGCCTGGGCCATCTTCTTCCTGTCTAACTCTTTCACATGGGACCTGCCCTGGGCCTCCTGCAACAACTCCTGGAACACGGGTAATACACTCCATAACAACAGCCAGAGATGTTTAGTGTATATGTAACCATGTATTTAAACTGGTGTAGCCAGGCCTCCATTTTGGCAAGCGCAAGCACAAGTTTGCTTAGAAAAGAAACAAGACAGGGGCGTCGAGTGGCGTAGTGGGTTGAGCAGGCGCCCCATATGTAGAGGCTACAGTCCTCGCTGCAGTCGGCCCCGGTTCGAATCCCGCATCAGATGGCCCTTTACTGCATGTCATTCCCCCCTCTTTTTGCCTCCCCATTTCCTGTCTCTCTCTATACTGTGCTATCATAAAGGCATAAAAAGCACAAAAAAAGAAAAGAAAAGAAAAGAAACAAGACAATTCTGCAATGGGGAACTGATGGCAGAGCCTGTTGCTGGTGTACTCATGGACTGAGGAGCTCCTTGTAGATCAAGTTTTTGGTTTTCATAGCTTTAGTTATCGTATATTATATGTTGTGTTATTTTGATTTTTCTGATCCACTTTAACATTTTATTCATTTGTAGTTTTATTTTATCTTCAGGGAGTGAGTGTTCCTGCACCATTTCACTTCTCCGTCTCAGTGGTGGCATTGTTTCACTTGCCTGTGTGTAACTTGGAAACCTCAGAGAAAGCTTGGATTTCTTCACAGGATTGAATGTCTTTTTGTCTTTCCTTCATTCAAGATTCCTGTATGGCATTTCAGAGGGGGAATAGCTCCATCAATCACCATGAGAACGCCACCTCTCCTGTCATTGAGTTCTGGGAGTAAGTGCCTTTTTGTTGAGTATGTCCTCAAATGGCCTTATGTGCCAGCAAATTCACAAAATATTCATCTCAACAAGAAGGTTTTAAAAATGTATGATCGTAACACTAGATGCAACTTTTACAACTTCAAAGGTTTTGCTTTTTAGCCACATGGTCTTTTGAATTGCTTAGAGACCCTTTGCTTCCAAGCTCCTGAGAGCACAGACAAAATATTATACTGGAAGAGTTGTGAACATAAATACACTGAATATGGGTTACAATGAATTCTTAGACTAGATAAAACATTTCAAATGTTTGTCTGTTGCATGTTTGTGCCACAGGCGCAGAGTCCTGAGAATTTCCTCAGGCATTCATCACATCGGCTCTCTGAACTGGGACCTGGTTATCTGTCTGGCCGTTGCCTGGGTTATCTGCTACTTCTGCATCTGGAAGGGAGTGAAGTCCACTGGAAAGGTAAAACCTGTCCTCCATTCATGACAAACAAATACTCTATATGGGAATAAGACCTATTCTGGTCCCAGTAAATAAGTTAGAATGTCCAGTGTCTAGAGTGTCTAGTGACACCTAGTGTTGAACACTAATGAAGTTATTTAAACCTTTGGAAATAGAGCAAATCCTCCATTTTTACCAGAGACACACCAGTGGAGATGAATAGTTGCATCCACATTCATCCTTTTTGATCTTTTTTGCCTAAACAAACATCATGAAGAAGGATGAATTTCTACAAAGGGACAAACTGCTATAAGCCAAGCAGAGACGTATGCCTGATGACAAAGTGCTGCTGTTTCTCTGCAGGTGGTTTACTTCACAGCCACCTTTCCATATGCTATGTTACTGATCCTGCTGATCAGAGGGGTCACCCTGCCAGGAGCCTCCAGGGGAATCCACTTCTACCTCTACCCTGACCTGGGACGCCTATCTGACCCACAGGTAGGCTGGAGCTGCACTTGCATTCAGATTCTCAGTTCGATCTGTTGAACATACACAGAAGGACACACTCATAGCTATGCAGATACAACTGAAAAAAACCCATGTCTACCAGCATTTAATGCTTTGCAAAATGCTTTGATGCCTTAATATTGGTAAAACTGGCACAAACTGGTACAGTACTGCCTTGGGATGACCAGGCCTGCAGATACATTATGCACATCCACAATTTCATGGTCATACTCACCCATACTGATGGATAATTTCAGCACATTTTTAGAACTTAGAGTTACTAAAAGTGTTTCAGGTCATGTCCCACCAACCTGTCCTCTGACTCCCCGAAGCTTATGCCATCTCTGCAGTTTCATTTCACAAATATTAACACATTACACGTGCTAGTCTTGCAAAACTGTTGCTGAACGTAACTCAGTTGCTGACAAGTCCACTTTATTAACTTAAGTTATAAGTTATATGTCAAAAAATCAGTTAGTGGAGGTTTAAGGAGAGAAGACATAAATCTTGTGCGTCCATCCATCTACTTGTATGACTTTTTGAGGCAGTAAAATCACATTGCTTCCTGTTTTTGTGCTGAATATGAACATAGGTTCCTTTTAAGCTGTTTGGACAAACAATGCTGCGAGTGGATTTGGGTTGTTGGTAGTAACATGGGCTTCTTTACTTTCTGTTACATTGCAACCAGTGTGAAAATCCAAAAGAGGGGCCCTCTTCAATCCCTCTCAGGGCTCTGGGGATGAATACAAACCCTGTGTCCGCAGGCCAAGACAAGCTAGGCTGGTGGAGTTGGTACCTTTGGAAATACCTGCTTTTGTGCTATGTTGTTGGTTGGACCCCCAGTCAATCAGACCTTCAGTCCTGGCTGCCAGCTGCCTTAAACATGCCCCAGTGCTCTGGAGGCACTTTACCAGAACTGCAAGAATAAAGAGAAACCTCATTTAAATTTTGAAGTGCGAGTGAGTGTTCAAAGAGAGGGTGGAAAAGTGCTGCACTTTATGCCTCAGAATGACTGAGATGGATAATAGGCTTTGCTGGTTGGGTGATGTTAGGACGATGGTGTTGAGAGGGTGAGTTCTGGAGTAAGGAACTTCAGATTTGATAGCTGCATTGGGAGATAAATTGTGTTTTTAAGAAGAGATGATGCAGTTTGAGTGGAGGTAACACTTTCAATATGGAGAATAGATGAGAGGTTGTGTGAAAATCAAGCTCACAATGGACATCACTGAGTTAAAAAGGCTTAACAGCGAATCATCACTGAGTCTGGGGCTGAAGTGATGGAGAGTCCCCAACATTTGATGCAGTACGAATTTTGTTTTTTTGTCATATTAACCTTATATTGTTAGTGAGGTGTCCCTTGTCAATAGACTGGGAGGATACATATTCCTAAGTAATGAAACATCAGTGTACAAACACTAGAGAGTCCTTCCTCACGTGCATGGGTTTGAAATCTATTTCCACACAAGCGAGTGAGCTGAGCCTTCAGTGTTAGCAATACATCGTTTTGTATTACTGTTAATCATTTGAAAGCATGCAGAGCAAAATAATGAAAAAAAGGTAAACTGATAACTGTTACACATTGTGCTTGTTACACGATCAGCTGATGGTTCTGTTTGAACTCTGGCAGCTCGGTTACGTAGGAAGCTGGTTTGGTAACAGAGAAGCTATGGGTTTTGTGGCTGTGGGTTGAATCCAGATTGTGTGAAAAAATGTACAGTGTTTCTCAAAAGACACATTTTTAAAGTTGAGTATTTTACATAATACTTATATAAATGTTCAGGGCAGTTTAAAAGCTACTTTCATCAGTTGATGGAGTTAATTTTCCCCATGGGATACTTCAAAATCAACATAATAAAACACTGCAACAAAAAAGGTTTTGTATTAAAATTATTACCGTCTTCTCCCTTTGAATGTATTTTCTCTATTTGACTCTCTTGTTTCTGATCTGTCCTTAGGTATGGATGGATGCTGGAACTCAGATCTTCTTCTCTTATGCCATCTGCCTGGGCTGCCTCACTGCACTGGGAAGCTACAACAAATATAACAACAACTGCTACAGGTGTGGACTGAAATGATAACGCAGTCAGTGAGCATTATGATCAACACTAATCTCTGTAGTCCACCTTAAATGTCAGTAATGTTTAATCTGTTGTTTAGTTAGTGTAAATGTCTTATTTTTTTATATGAAGGGAATCACTTCTTGAGGACAGACATTGCTGTGTAATATTTGTTTTTATTCATTATGTCTCCCTCTCTGTGTTGTCTCCAGGGATTGCTTGTCCCTCTGCTTCCTAAACAGTGGCACCAGTTTTATTGCTGGCTTCGCCATCTTCTCCATCCTGGGCTTTATGTCCTACGAGCAGAATGTACCTATCTCAGAAGTGGCAGAATCTGGTTGGTGGTTCTTTTACTTAACTTTATGAAAACAGATCACTGCATTCATACTATAGGTTAGATGCTATAGGTATATCATCCTCTACTTCTATTTCCGCTGATTTACTTTGGTTGAATTATTCTAAAAAGACTTAAGATATGAATCACGCACTAGACTTTATCTGGAAAGCTGAGCAGCTCAACAATATGCAGTTCATTGTGATCATGTGACAGCACACTGAGCATATGACATTAAAAATTACTGTATGAGAATGAATTTGAAGTTGGGGGAATCAATCAACATTTTCATAGCATTCCCATGGGCAAAAATGATCAGTAATGGAAATTTTTAATGAGAAAAGCACATTTGAACTGTGTCTAAACCAGGTCCAGGTTTGGCCTTCATAGCCTACCCTCGAGCTGTGTCCATGATGCCTTTCTCCCCTTTGTGGGCCTGCTTCTTCTTCATTATGATTGTCTTTCTGGGACTGGACAGTCAGGTGAGACCAACATATGTACCACAACTAAACACACACACACACGCACACACACACACACACACACACACACAGGGTTCAGGCAGTGCAGTTATACAGACATAACTCTTACTGCACAGTCCTTTTAGTCTACTGAGAGAATGGGTAAAATTTAGCTTGTGTAGTATATTTTTGAATAGGTCAGAAATCACATACATTACCATTGGCACACACACAGAAATATACAGTATATATGTATAGTACAAATATCTCATACTTTGGATGTTTCCCTCCCGATCAGTTTGTGTGTGTGGAGAGCCTGGTGACAGCCATGGTAGACATGTATCCCTCCACCTTCCGCCGTAAGAACCGCAGGGAGCTCTTCATCCTGGGAGTGGCCATTGTGTCCTTCCTAATGGGGCTCATCATGCTGACAGAGGTTAGTCCCAGTGACTCCACTTCTTTTTTTTCTTTTCTTTTTTTCATTCAGACTCAGAAGTTGAAGATGAGGACTGACTGTTTTNTTACAGTGATTACAAAATAACCATATAATCTTTATATTTTGCATGACAGAATTTTCATAAACATCTTTTTCAAGGTGATATTAAACAAGTATATTAACAATGACTGACATTATGATAATGAGTCATAATTTAAGAGTGTAAATAGGATAGTAAAGGTGAAGCTGCAATGGTTGTTTGAGTAAGGCCTTTAAGTGAAAGCTTCCTTTTTTGCCGCACTGATGAAATGACAAGCAGTCTACCAAACAAATTTTAAAGTGAAACTGCATATTCTGCCGACTACAGCTTCGTCAGCACAACCTTCTGTCCACATGAACGGCACATTCCTCTAAAGTCCCTTCATGTCCAGACAAAATCGATTCTCAAACTGTGTGCTGTCTGAATCAGTGTTGTAGTACTGAACTCCAGGACTTGGACCTGAGGATAACTCGAGGCCTGATTTTAAGGACTCGTGACTCAAGTTGGACTTGAGCAGTGACGAGTCAGAATTGGACTCAGACTTGAGCGTTGACTGCATTCAGACTCAGAAGTTGAAGATGAGGACTGACTGTTTTATTTTAGTGTGAGTAGGGTTGTGCCGATGGATGATGATCTTGGTGATCGACAGTCATCAGAGCCATCGTCAATAGCTTATTATGCCTTTGCCAATGTAAAGATGATATTTGGCTTGATTATTATAATTATTAACAGTATTAAATTAATATTAAGTTTAATTTGCCCTACCATAGCATATTGGCAATTTCACAGGGTGACAACAGGATGATTGGACTATAGATAATATCGCGCATCCATAAGTGTGAGAGGGCACATGCTTGCGAGAGCATTGGAGCCCATCTCGTAACACAATTCAGATTCAACCGTGCTGATTGGGACTCAAACACTGGGGACTCAAGGTTTAGTGACTCGACTGCAACACTGGTCTGAATATGAATGTTGCACTTTGCAGAATTGCAAGTGCAAGAACAAAATAGATCATTGACTTTCACAGTGTTCTCAGATTTTGTCTTCAGTTGACTGCATGCAGGTTTTCTTTAGCTTCATTTCCCTCAGGGTAATAAACCCATGTTTGCCCCCACAGGGAGGAATGTACGTCTTCCAGCTCTTTGACTACTATGCAGCCAGTGGGATGTGTCTGCTCTTTGTGGCTATTTTTGAAACTGTTTGCATTGCTTGGATTTATGGTGAGTGTATTACTCAGGCTATTCAGGAACATTTGAAGGGGGTATTTAAAAGACAAAGGCTTTAGTCTCACTAGGCACCATTCATTCTCATCCACTGCTCTCCAAGGCTCTCTTTTGTTTGATGCAGAGCTTTGGAGGCTGAGGCTGAGTGAAGGGAGTGTTATTTCTATTTGATGGTTTATTTTTAATAATCAAATGAATAAAATAAATTCTAAGGAATAGTTTTCTTGAGCCAAATAACACAATTAAGTGGCCTAATTTAGCCACTGAGCAGTAATTAGTTGAGGAGTATTAATGTGATGTTTTTCCACTGCTCTTCAAACATGACACAGATGATTATTAGATATTGATGTAAGTCTCCACTGCGTTTCTCTCATCTCTCCCAGGTGCTGACCGTTTCTATGACAACATAGAGGATATGATTGGCTATCGCCCCAGCCCTGTCATCAAATACTGCTGGCTTTTCTTCACCCCTGCGACATGCTTTGTGGGTTTCACATTCATTCTAACTATGCATGTTTTTGCATCACTTTCTTGGAAGCAGAGCAGCCTCTGGTGGCCAGTGTGGAAAATACATTTTATAATAATATGTTAGTGGATAAGATTAGTGTTAAAATTGGGGTCAAGGATTATAATCAGCTATTTAAAATCATATTTTGAAAATAAAACTATGAAATATTCTTACTCTCTCTGTTAACAGGGAACCTTTGCCTTCGCCTTGATCAAGTACTCACCTCTGAAGTACAACAATGAATACATATACCCATGGTGGGGCAATGGGATAGGCTGGATCCTGGCTCTGTCCTCCATGCTGTGTATCCCTGTCTGGGTGGCCGTGAAACTGTACTACACCCCTGGAACACTGAGAGAGGTATGTTTCACCTAAAAACTATCCTTTTCAGGAGCAAATTCTCAGCTCTATTTCAAAAGCATTTTAACATCTTTTAGCTGATTATTTTCGTTTCATGCCCTGAAACTTTACTGTGTAGTTCAACACTAGGACCACCTTTGTTTTCAGTAGGCACCTCTGATGTCAGACTAAAATGGCAGACAAAAGTACTGACTAGTTGCAGAACATAGCGGACAATTTTGCATCTTAATAGCCAGATACTTCCCTCAGTAGTTGGCGGAGTCCAAACCACAGTTCAAAGATGTTTGAATATTGACCTTATTCATCAGGTGGCCAACAACGTGACTCCGAGTCAATGTTAATATTGCTCCACATCTCCTGGACAGTTGCTAATACGTCAACCACATCATCTTTGTAATGCATTAATATGTCAGTGCTATGTTTACAGTTTATTACACTGCCCCCAAGTGGTCAGAAACAACAACGTACAAAGCCATTAAAGCCTAAATATTGCAGTTATTTTAAATTCTTTTGAAAATAATCAAATGCTCATCCTGGTAATCTAGTGGTTAAAGCATTCTCCATACTGTATAAGCACAACATCCACAGTTAGATTCTGGCCGGGTATCATGTCTCTCTCTTCCTTCATTTCCTGTCTGCATTTCTACTTTCACCATGAAATAAAGGCAAAAAAAGCAAAACAAGGAAAAGTCAAAAAACATTACTGATTTTGCGTAATCCCTCAGATAAATTTACTGGTTACATTCTTTAGTAGGTAACTTCCTCTGATGTCAGCTCCTTTATGTAAAAATGTTTTATTCGGAAATGAATAGCCGTCAATCACTTACATATTTAATTACTCATATATAACAATAATATAATTTGAATAATTGATAAAATTTCTGTTCACAGCGCGTCGCTTTCTTGACCACTCCTTCCACTGAGTTACCGAAGACAAAGCAGGAGCAGGAGAAGCTGCTCGCCATCTTCGCAGCCGATGGCGACAGCCTCCATCAGAAAGCACCTCCCACTAAGGACGGTTACTTCCCCGTTGATGAAAAAGAGTCCCACTGCTAAAGACCTGAGGGTTGAAATCAGAGCCTTTAGGGCGTCAAAGGTCACTCCTCAACTTTGACACTCTGTCTGGCCCCATCCCCAACTCTCTCTGCAATACCTCACCAGACAAAGTGACGAAACGAACGCACAGACGCAGAGTTTAAGAGTGCCCTGAGCTGTAACTGCTGATCTGCTGCTGGAGTTTTCTCCTTTGTACACTGCCTTAAACACACAGTATGACGGCATCAACATTCCTACTTAAAGATTGACATCCTCTTTAGGAAAGCTGGTTATCATCTCATTTGCCAGTGGCAGAGTCACGTGTACATTTGAAAAAAAATGTGGCCATTGTTGTTACGCAGTGGCTAAGAATTTACATTTGATCGTTTCTGCTTTCTAAGGAAGCATTTTGTTTTTCTGTTATGGACATCTCTAATGTTCAGTTCGTCTGACATGACATTCCAGTTACATTACTGATTCTAACAGCTGTCTGCTGCAGACGGAGCACAGGACGTCTCACAGATCATAAAAGTTCACATGAATAAAATCTGTGTGTGTTTAAATGCACTTCTGCAATGTATACAGTACAAATGTATTGTGTATTCAATTCAGACACGCCGACAGCTCTGTTTTTATTGTACAGTAGTGAGTTCTGATCTCAGGATGTAAAATCTTCCAGTAAAACATCTTAGAAAGGCATTTACTAATAACCAAGAATTTGATTTTAAATTCACATTTAGCTGAACTGACCACAACTCATCACAATTAGGCTTCGCTGTTGGTATTTCATATTAATGTTACTGTTTTCTTCATTTCATTTTTTTTTCTTCCGCATGAATATTTTACATGCCTTTTGTTAGTCTTCTGATTATTGACATGACTTTAATTCAGTTGGTTTTGCCTCGTCTCATGCATTGAATCTTATGACATTAAAATGTAAAGTGGCTGAAGGAGACAGCTGTGCCACTTAGATAATATGAACAGGGAAGACTGTAATGATTGAAGGGATTCATTCCAAAATGAACATCTCTCTTGTCATCTCTTTTTCTGCTGTATTATAATGAACTTCAGCCAGTGTTTCTTTAGTTGTAATGCTGGCATGAAGATATGATAATTGATTACTGATAGAGAACACTTTTACTTATGTGTAACTTTTGTATGCTAAAATTATTTTTTATGACTGAATAAAAATACCTTCATTTGAAATGTACATTTCTATTGAAATATATGTTTATATTTTATGGGTCATACAATTTATTATTCAGTACATGAATGATCATTTACATTACTGAGAATTTGCTGTGTCTATTGATGATTAAAAAGAAATATTCTAAATTTCAGCAACACCTTCCTCGTTGAGAATAACATCATATTCTCAAATAAAGTGGCATTATTGATATTTGATTTGCTATCATGCGAGCTTTTAAAGTATGTAGGGATTTAGGGATGTTACGGTGTATGTGCTGTCTTCAGAAATGTTTTGTTTTGCATAATTTAGCATTTTAAGTACAGTACTAAGTTGCAAAATGTACAACACAATTAAAATACCTTTTCTCTTTTAAGCAGTTGTAGTGAAGTTGAATAACACATTATAGTTCACTGTTCCTAAGAGCCATTATTCCTACATAAAGGCTCTGATAATATCTGTATCTTTATATCTGATTATGGGATCATTACACCAACAAAAATGCATATTTGTATTGAAAAGAGATAACGTAAATACACATTTAATTTAATTAACTTTTGATATTTCTTCCTGTTATGGTGAAAATATGTGTAACTAATTGTAATATATATACTGTAATGTAAAATTAATGTAATATTCACATAATATAATACATGTATATACATTGTGTGTAAACATCACAAATTAGCATACAAGCTAATATCAAATTAACAAATTCAACTGGAAATGTGTGGAACACTTTTGGTAATACTTTTAACCTGTCTGTGTATGAAAGAGAGTGGCTTGTGTGTGTGTGTCTATGTGTGGGAGTGTGTTTGTGCGATGCCTTTTACTCTCTCTTCATTTCTAAGGATGTAAAGTTTGTGATCAATGAAAGAACCATGGGATTAATGGACTGCTGTTTTTTTTTTTTATATTCTTTCATTTCCACTTTGGTCTCCTTGTCTGGATTTATCTTGAAAAGGCATCTGTTAAGACCTGTTGAGTACATTTGAAGGTAGTGCTACATTTTGATGATCGCCAATTCTGTGGATGACCCAACCATTATCTGACACTACACTGAAATACAGCTTGAAGTCAAAGGAAAATGTTCTTAAATTGACTTTTCATCAATGGCTATGATCATACCTGTTTGAAAAATACAGTCAAGACCATTTGGACAATTATACATTTTTGCAGCCCCTGAACTTCAGCACATTCAGGTTGGAATAAAATAATGGGTACTACATTGAAGTGTCAAGTCTTAGCTTCAGTTTGAGTAGGTTTACATTAATATAGAAAGAACTGTGTGGGACATAGGTATTACTTATGTTACCAGTAGAAAGATGTTGGTGTTATATAATATAATATCAATATTTTCCCACAGTGCTTTTACCATAACTTCATGAATGAAAATGAAGATGGGAGCTGTAAAATGCCGTGAAGAGTTTTGTTAGAACCTTGATGATCTATGACACATGATGTATAATGTTCAGTTATCACATCATCGCTGTAGAACTCTGACATCAACACTCTGACACCAAAAACTTCATTCATACCCAGAAACCTGAGCTGAGCCGGATCTCCAAACCAACCATCCACATTTTCCCAAATGACAACGATCTGTATTGATAACTGATAATTTGAACTCCATTAATTTGAATACTGTGTCAGGAATGTTTATACAACTTCTAAACAGTTTCAAGTCAATTCATCTGCTAAATACAACGGCTCATCTGTCCCGTTCAGGCTCTTCACTGCGTTGAAATGAACAGACAAAGAAAGCAGGTAAGATTTTTTTTTCAGCAGCGTGTGTCTCTTGGCCAACCCACTTCTCCCTGCTATTTATTCATATTTTGTTAAAAGCAACATTTTCACACAGTTTGGTGAGTGAATGAGTCACAATTTTAACAATATCTGTACTTGAGTACAAGACCCTTTACAAGACTGGGGACACAAATTTGCAATCAATCAAATTATATGGGCTAGACAGAAATGATATGCAGTAAATCTGGAGCTTTTGGGCATTTTTGGGGAGAAGATGGTAATCCAGCCTTGTCCCTGATGATACTGTGTGATGAATAAGAATCTAAAACTTAAACTTTTGCACAGTGCTGTAAATCAAAATCATACATAAGTAGATAACCTACTTGAGTAAGATACATTCCACCACTGTATCATTTATACAATGAAATAATATAAAAAGCAGCTGCTGAAGGCTGCAACTCTTCCTCCGGCCTTTAGGCGGAGCATGTGGACAAGTGACGGTGCAGCTCGGTCCATACGTGGCCTGTCGTTATCCGTCTGTTTGAAGCTCTTCCAGCAGGGGTCACTGTAGTCATTATTCTGAATCGGTCACTGTTTACGGAAGTCCTATTGACGTGTCACTGTCCACCGAAGCATTGTGGGAAAAAAAGTGGAGCTGACGGCCGTTGATGGCAGACTGCTCAATTTGGCAAATATCTTCGATTAGTGGGCAGTCTAAAGAAACATAAATCTAAGGGGACGATGCTGCTTCACGAATCTAATGTCAACGTGCTGTGAAGAAGACGAACATATGCCGGTGTCATCGCTGCTCTCCTGCGCACGGGCGCCCAAAGCAGAGAAGTGGGATACTGTGTCAATGGACCACGGCGTTTTTATTTTCTTTTCTAAGGGAGGCGAGTAAAGTAGCAACGGATTATATTCCCGCTGTGGATGGGTGGGGGGGCGACTGCGCTCCCGCATTCCTTATCGTTTGAAGTTTCTTGAGATTTCTGTCGAAGGCGCCGTCAAAAATGTCGACCAGCAGTCCCGAAGCGGTGAAGAAATTGCTGGAGAACATGCAGACGGACCTGCGGTCTCTGTCCATGGAGTGCAAGAAGAAATTCCCCCCAGTCAAAGAGGTTAGCCGGCTAGTTAGCTCTACTGAGCTGTTACCTTGGTGTTCAGCTATTTGTTTAATTTGCGAATCTGTTGTTATAGCCGAAACAATGTAAATGTCACATATTAGTTTGTTTGTTTCTACACAAACCACTGGGCCTCTGCTCTGTTGTGGGATGTGGACACTGAGTTGTCCTTATACTGTACGGGTAAATTAAAAGTTGTGACAGCTGCTGGGCCAATATACCAATCAGTGGTTCAAATCAAAGAATATACAGGTATTTGAATGGCCTGTATCCCACTATTAGCTTAATATGGCTCTAATCTGAAGCAATCGTATAGTGGAGGATAACCCAAATAAACCCAGCTGACTCACGTTCTATTTACACAATAGCTAGGTTATTTATTCAGGCATATTCATTGGGCATATCTGTTGTACATTACTTGGAAGTCAAGTAATTTAAAGGGTCCGTTCACCCAAATCGCAAAAAAATCGACCCAATTTCTTTTTCTCACTTACCATTGGTAGTAAATACATTTTTTGTGGTTATAATCAAGAGACAAGTGAATTAATATTTATTCTCTAATTTGGGTGAACCAACCTTTTAAGACAAGCTTAATGTTTTATTTGAAATTATGTATGATGGGTTTAGTTTATATTGATGAATGTCTGCATTTGGACATCAGTAATTATAAGCAATCACTTACTGCAAGAGAGTGGTCCTGTACTGTTGTTCAGCCCTGCAAACGTTGAAAAAATATCCCCCATATATGACGTTTTGCAAAGTGTCAATACACTCAAATCACAAAATATACATATATACTGTATGTACTTGTGCACAAGGTCTGTGAATTATCCTGAATGGCCATGGATTTGTCACCAGACATGTTACTGTTATCTTCTATTGTTTTGAGTACCTCAAACAAATTTCCATTCAACCTCATCATAGGGGGGGTGGCTGCAGAAATTAGAGATGAATATCTCAGAACCTTCACAGCTTAAACCAGAACTATCAGCATGGTGAAACAGATAAGTCCAGTGAGAGGATATTTTTTTGTGATTTGTGAGATCCAGCTCTTTAACATTTTATTCTAATATCATTGCATTATTGCATTCATTTCTTAGGACAAAGTTGAGGTTAGCTATTTTAGGAAACTTTATTGTTTTTGACTTTTGCTATAAAAGACCTCTGTTTGGTCTACATTGGTGTGTTTAGGATCTCATGTTGCATTGATTTTTGATTTTTACAACAAGTGTGCTTGTATTGACACAGCCAAGAGCCATTTCATACAAGTGTTTTTTTTGTTTTTTTTTATTCCTTGGAATGACTTACTGTTTGTGGTTGGTGACTGGCTTCGTTGTGCAGCAGTGTTGGTTACATTTCTAATGACATCATGTGTTAGTGAGCGTAGAGAACAGATTAGTGTATGGGGATGTGATGTCAGGGCCTTTCACAGTGTATGTGTATTGTCCGAGTCACATGTAGAAGACTACAGTCAACCCAGTTTTATGACTCCACTTTGCCCCTAACGACACACCCCTCCTTAATATGGGCTTTGCTTTCAACTGGTCTTCAGGGCTGGGTCAGAGTTCATTTACATCTGAAATGTAATTTATTGTCATTTGACCCTTAATTTAAATGCTAAAAAAAATAGATATACAATTTTGAGGTTGGAGAAATGCGACTTTGGGTAAACACAACCTCAATTCACTCGCTGTTGGTTGGTTGTTTGACCGAGCTGCATTTCCTGATTGTGTGGATGCTATTCTATCATTTCATTTCACTGAAGTGCACACAGGGTGTAGCTTTGTACTAACCAAAGTAATGTAATTCAGCTGACATCATCTCAGCCAGAGCCTCTTTGTCTTAATTCCCTGTAATTCTCAGGTATAGCCAACTCACTGTTTGCTTGCCTATGTAACAGTGGTCACACAGATCAGTAGATATAATGATCTAGTGTATGTGGGGATTTTGTGGTTGTGGAAATATGCGCCAACCAGCTGAGTGGGGAAATACATATCAGGCTACACCAGCTTAGTTTGTTTTCCCTCTGGTCTCACCTTGGATAAAGTCAACATTAAAATGAGAAAGAGAAATACCTCAGCAAGTGCATCCAGTTCCTTTGGGTTTCTCTCACTGCAGAGAGATTCAATACATTGACTTGAATGCTGGATGCTTCAAAATGAGGTGTGTGGCAGTCACACAGGAGGACCATAAAAAGCATACAGCTGGTCTCGCGTCAAAGGCTGCTTGCTGGCCTTTGCCTAGGGGCCTTATGAAGCATCTCCTTCAAATATTGATTTATCATCACCCAGGTTTCCTGGTCCTTACTAGCATCTTTCCCTCAGGGATCACAGGAGTGCAGAGAGCTACTT